CCACAGGAAGTTTGATTTTCTTAAATAGCTCAGCTTTATTATGTAACACTAGGTGTATAACAATAAACAATAATAACAAGTAATAAAGTATTTATTTGTCAATTGAGAGTAAATATTATCTTAAATAATATACAGTGTGAGTCACGTTAAAGTGTACATATGAAAATAGATGAAACTAGACCTATTTTTATCGACAAAAAAGAGGTCAAAAAAATTTTGAGATTTTTTTAAATTTTTTTATCGAATTTTTTTTCTTCCAATTACTTATTGTAAAGAAAACGTAATAACTTTTAAACTAAGCGGTATATCCTGATAAAATAAAAACAGTAATAATGCTAAATAACAGGCGATACTAAAAAAAATACATAAAAAATACACAAAAAAGGCCAACAAATAATAAAAAATGATACTTTTTGAAAAAAATCTGCTTAAAAATTCGTGTTTTTTTTGTTATTTGATAAATTTCTCCAAAAAATGCCTCTATAACCGGTGGTTTTTATTACTTTGTATTATTCTCTATCGTATTACCTTTGTAAAACCAAAAATCGCATGTCTCTATCCCTATCACAACGTTTGCAATGATTGTTTGAACTAAGCCTCTCCGGGCGCGCCATTCAACGCTTCGTTAACAACGAAACTGAAAATGGCTCTAGATTTGTAATGTTGATAAAGACAAGTTAGATTTCAAATAAAAACAAAAGATTTCGAAGTAAAATAAGCATTTTAGTTAAAATTAAAATTGTCTCTACCTGTAGCGGAGAATAATGTTGTGGCAGGCCTTTGTTCAAACGATCATAGCAAATGTTGTGATAGGGATAGAGACATGCGATTTTTGGTTTTACAAAGATAATACGATAGAGAATAATACAAAATTAAAAAAAACCACCTGTTATAGGGGCATTTTTTTGAGAAATTTATGAAATTGTTGGAAGTATACTAATAAAGAAATAACCAAAAAAATACGAATTTTTAAGCATATTTTTTTTTCAAAAAGTCACATTTTTTATTATTTGTTGGCATTTTCTGGGTATTTTATGTATTTTTTCAGTATCGCCTGTTATTTAGCATTATTACTGTTTTTATTTTATCAGGATATACCGCTTAGTTTGGAAGTTATTACGTTTTCTTTACAATAAGTAATTGGAAGAAAAAAAATTCTATAAGAAATTAAGAAAAAATCTCAAAAAACTTTTGACCTCTTTTTTGTCGATAAAAATAGGTCTAGTTTTATCTATTTTCATATGTACACTTTAACGTGACTCACACTGTATAGTGCTCATTGAACTTAGAAGGAATAACATTATATGCTTAATATTATTAAGGGTTGTACCCTAGCTAACCAGCGCCACCATATTTTTTCTTGATTACCTACTTTTGTTTATAGACCGAAATTAAAAAAGTGGTTTGAAAAATGTACATATAAATAATATGTATCGAAGCTATTTTTTAAAATAATTTGTTTGAATTCATTAGATATTTGCAGCAAGTTACAGATTTAATTACTGCTAAAAGTTACCATTTTAGCTAATTTTGAATTTCGAACTTGCAGAATATAATAAATACACGGTTTTAAAAGTAGCTTAGATATGGCTTTAACTATTTACAAACCACTTTTTTATTTCGGTTTGTAACAAGAGAAATCACGAAAGATTATCTGTGGCGCAAGTTTTAGAGGGGTAAGTAAGCTCCTTAAATATTTTTGTCACACTTGTGCGTTTCGTTTCGCTTTATCGGTACGTAACATACATATTACGACGCGATTTGGAATAACTTTTTTTTCTTGTTCATGCAATGATTTTTTTCTTATCCGCCGCCCCCTTTCATATGCCGCCCGGGGCCATGGCCCCCCCTGCCCCCACCAAGCTACGCCACTGAGGTGGACGTCCCACGCTGCGTTTTCCGGTACGCGGCCTCCATTCCAGAACCTTTCTGCCCCATCGGCCGTCAGTTCTGCGTACTATGTGCCCTGCCCATTGCCACTTCAGCTTGCTAATACGTCGAACGGGAAGCATGGTCGATCTGTTTTAATGGTTTCAATTTATTATTTAATGGACTTTAGTGTACAAATTTGGTGTTATTTTGTGTTCTAAAGTGCAGTGAAGTGATAAATTATAAAAAAAACATTGAAATACTTCGAATTTGAGCGCGTATCGAGTGTCGAGTGGGTTGTCGTATGAACGACCCGCTTTGGACTCGGTGGCGTCTCGAAACCTGCTTACGGGCATACTTAACTCCACGGAATCCATGAAAAATCAATAGAACTGAAACACCCACGTTCTATTGATAACTATGTCAATTATTTTTCACTCGACATTGGCAGAAATAAACCACCCAGAGAGGTTTGGTTGTCATTAAAAAAAAAAGAAGTCTTGCTGACGCTTGACGTCCCATCCCAAAGACACCCTCCCGTACCACTCCTATTACTGACTGAGTTAAGTGCTAGAGCTATTTATAAATAATGAGTTTGTATAATACTTTCGAGAAAACAGTTTAACACTGCGATGCATCCACGAGCCAGGTTCAACGTTTCCCTGAGGTGAATTATAATTTATAAGCCTCGCTGACTATAAGGCTAGGTTCACACAGGACCGTGGCATAAGTACCTACCTCGTTCGTTCGTTCGTTTCAGCCAAATGACGTCCACTGCTAGACAAAGGCCTCCCCCAAGGTTTTCCGCAATGAACGGTCCTGCGCTGCCCGCATCCAGGCTCTTCCCGCGATTTTTACCAGATCGTCGGTCCACCCTAGTAGGAGACCTACCTAAAGCCTTTAATTTAACTAAAACTTAACGGTTATCATCATGACAAAAGCTAAGCTAAAAGATACTGAAGAAAAAATACAAAGCTATCTTATTTTATCTCTTCCCAGGACTTTCCAAAAGAAAGTCCCAATGAAATAATAAATGACGTTATTCATTCAGCCGCCTGATTTGTTTTCTTGGAACTTTATCTTCGATTTGTCGAAACTTGGGTTTGAATCGAATACTATTTTGCTATAAAAGAAGAAAAATGGAGGCCTGTACGTTAAAAAAATCACTCAACGGAATTATACTGCAAGAACCCTGTCTGTACTCGCCTTAACAACATGCGTATGCGCAACGATGGAATTTCAAATCTGAGTCACAGGTAGGTAGAAGCGAGTTTATACCAACCTTCTTTGACCCTTGGAAATGATAAATAAGTTAAATAACTGCTACTGGTGAGTAAAGCTGGGGTCACAAATGTGTCACAAGTCACAACCTTGGCGCAACCTTGGCGTCAAAAATTCAAACTTCTCATATATTTTTTAATAAAAAAGCCCAATGGTGTCGGTAACGGACTGGCCGAATCGTGATCCGAGAAACACGGGTTCGAACCCCGCTCGATTCACAAAACGCACGACGTCATTTTATCAATATTTTTTTTAACACATCTAACGAAATACATCCTTATCACCAGCAAAACATCAGCGCGACAGTTTTTATTTTCAGTACACAAATGCTGGGAAAGAGCGCCACAATATTTTTTTCCCCCGATTAGAAAAAATCATAGATTCGTGGCTGTACATAGAGTTGCAGTGGTGGTAAATGAGTAGCGAAAGATAAACAATCATCATCATCATCATTTCAGCCACAAGACGTCCACCGCTGAACATAGGCCTCCCAATGACTTCCACATCGCACGGTAAGATAATCAATATGAACTGAAAACTTTGACGGGGTTTTCTCAATTGCTAAGTCTTTATTACTAAGTTATAACAATATTAAAGTGCACTTTTAACTCTAAAATAACAATGTAATAACTAACATTGTACTGTAGGTGTGCCGAGTGAAAGGATAGTAAAGGTCAAACAATTTTAGAGCCTGCAATGCCTAAGTTTGTGTCGAAACGTAATGCCAGCGTTGGGAAATAATAATTTAGGTTTAACAAATTGCAATCTAATACAGTTGTTGCAGTTTCATTATTTTTAATTCAAGTTAAAAGTTGAAGCCTTAGGGCACATAGCTTTTTTATTTTCCTGAGGTTTGAAAGAGTCAACGCACTCTCAACCTGTGGTACAGTCTTCAACACATTATACTTAATTATGTTACCAAAAACTAGTTACATAAGTTACCTATTGTTCTACCAAAACACAAGAATGAAAGAAAGAAAGAAGTCTAGGGTCAGACTAAATGCCAGAAAGGACAAGCCAGTTTTTTCTTCTTCTATGCCTTTTTTGACACTACTGTCAAAGATAGTGAGGAAAATGTATAACCCAATTTTGCCCAAAAAAAACTAAAAAAGGCGGGAAAATAAAAAGTTAATTATGTGTAAAAATCAAAAAGTTTCTAATCTTTTAATCGGCCTAGTGTATTCTTAACGCCCTCGTTATTATTAACAATATTGCAATTAGTTTCATAACAGATTTTCGTAAGTAGCACCCACGACCGGTTAGCGCAGTTTTGTAATATAACCGGTCGGTGTACGTAAATAAAAGTGAATTTGACTCGCTTGGTGATAATTTGAAGGACATAGCTTCGACTTGCTTTTATTTTATTTTTAATGCCATATTAATTGGGGCGGACTTAACTCCTTATGCCATTCTCAGCCAGCTAACCTTTGGGCTGAACGGAAAAAACAATATGCAGCTGTGCTTTTTTCATCCTTGTTCTTAAAAAAAAAAAAAAATTTTTAGGTACGTGAAGTTACTGTTTTGTATGAAGAATTGTACGAAAACAACAGTTCAGTAGGTAAATAAATTGTATAGTTTATTTTTTTTGTAAAAATGACTATCAATTGATTGAAAGTCACACTCCTCTCTAGTGTTCCCAAAATTCACGAGCAGAGCAAAAAACGTAAAAAATTACAAAATAAAAGATTTTTTTTTAATAAAATACTTAAAATTTTATTGTATAAGGAACGTAAATATAAATCTCATTTTATTCATGACTAAACTATTTAAGTACATTTTATATTATATTTTACATACTTACATTCGTTTTTTGAAACTGTTCAAATAATTTATATTAAGTTGTATTCTAATTTAATTATCAGCTTAGCTACTTGATATTATTGAAATTACGTAATTAATGATGTATTACAGAGATAAATGACTTTGATAAAGAAGTTTTATTGAGCGTTTCCATCAGTTTTCATTTCCAAAACTAGCCTACATTAGTTAGATCTTACTTTCTTTCGCCACTTCTTAGCACCATGCGATATGTTGTCCCGAAGTGGTGGTAGGGCAAGCTATATTCGGGACGTGTATAAGTGCTCAAAAAAGGTCTTATACAGGATGTTTCTTTTAGGTATCAATTCGTTATTCGTGATATACCTACTAATGATTACATTCCCAGGTATATTTAGTGATTTTACACCACCTTACTACAATACCACGTATAATCACAAAGAATACTTGATGGTTTAATCGCCAGGTATGTTAAAAAAAACTTGCACCAGTTTTATACTAAAAAAAATACAGCCTGTATACAGAATTTTGATCCCATCTTCATGTATGTTAGTAATTTTCGTTCGTAAACAAAGAAGTAGAATAGCAACTATAAAGAGAGACCTCGGAACAAAAGCTTACTCTACGACACGTTAAAAAGGCGCTTTTTCATTAAGTAAAAAAGTTACTGAATTAAATTTTTCACTTCTTTTCCATTAATTACTTATTTGAACAGATTCAAACGTTAAAAAAGTCCATATGAACACTGAGACTTTTTTCTAAACAAATACAAATAGAGAAAACAATAAACTTTTTAGGACGAACATTAAAACAACTGGAGAAATGGATTTTATTTAATTAGTGTATTAAACAAGATATTTTATATTGTTATGAGTTTTAAACTCTTTTAAATAATTTTAAACAACATGACTAGGTTTAAAACTTTTGAATAAAATCTGTGTTCATATGGACACGCATTTTATACAAACTAAGTCTTAAAATAATGTATTGCTATGTGATGTCTGACATTTATATGAAATTTTATATCTTTGCAAAGATTAGGCAGTAAGAATAAGAATAATTAAAAAATACTTAATTTTTACAAAATTAAAAGTCTACACTTAACGAAATTAATGGAAGTAAAAATTAGCGCGTTTATAATTGAGTGTAGTTTTATAAATTCTAATAATTAAGGATTAATTAATTGATAATTATCATAACAAATTGAGATTGTGATACTGATAATTTATTACTTTTGGCGCGAAAATTTTGCTATCAATTCTTTAAAAAAACTATAGCACCAATCAAATTAAAACACTGCAAAAATTTAATATGAATAGATTGTAATCATTCGCAATACACTTTGATAATTTTTCGAGTACATATTTTTCTGTACCACTAGTGTTATACTAAGTAGTTTTTCTGTTTAATTTAAATATTTTATGGAATTCAAATTTATAAAACTACACCCTGTATAGAAAAAGCCTGACATATTGTTATTTAAATTTCTCTAATAGCAAGCAATATCCTGAACTATGAGATCTGTTTTTAATTAACGAACACATTAAAAATTTCCAAATTGGCAAGCTGTCTTCAAGTTTTTATTGTAATTAACAAATTACGCAATTATTTTTAATTATCAACAACAAAAATGGAATATTTTGAACAAATGTTTATAGTGTAATTAGGATTTAAAATATAATTATATAAATCATTAAATTATAATTAATACTTGCAAACACATCATTTAATGAACCGTTCATAAACATAAAAAAAACTGTTGATTTTGAAAGAAATTTAAATATCCAATTTGATTGTTTAAAATAATATTTCGTAAAATTTGTTATTGCACCGTAACTTTACAATCGATTATCACAAAATTCTGACTCACTCATCAATGGTTACCGTTCAGTCCGTTGGTGGCTGGTTCCGAAGCACTCTTCAAATGGAATGGTGATATGGAGAACACTTCTCCTCTGACCAAGTCTTCAAGGTTCTCTCCACCATACGAGAGCAGCGGAGAAATCTCAACATCTATGTTGTCAGCTATTTCTCCGCCTGCTTCTCTGATGTACTTTCTGTGGAGACGTAGAAGGTCTTCCCTGGCAGTCGACGGGCAGTCCTTCTTAGCTGAATCAGCGTTTTTCAACGCAGAGAATTCAACATCTCTAGCTACTTCTAAGCAAATAAAGTTCTCAGCGAACTCGAACACATCGAAAATAAACTTTTCCATTTTAATACCGTTGGGTTCTGAGGGCTTTTGACGGACGCCATTGTCGTCTACGAACGGGATCTTTTTCTTGGCCACATGCAATTTCAGTTTTGCTTCGAATTCACATATTTTGGACAAGAATTCTGAGGAGAAGTAGTGGTTACAAATGTTACCAGCGGAGAAAGTAAGTCTTCCATCAGGGTTCCTAGAGTTTGCTGCTTCGTCAGTCAACTCAGAATATTCCACAACCTTATAGTGACCGTTCACACGACAAACCACACCCACTGCTTCACTGGGCGTAGACTTCAGCACAACCTTTGCAGCGCAGTCTGCGTTCTTGCTCTGGCAGTAGCCAATAAACACAGGGTCTGCCACTTTAATTAGAATATTATCAACGGAATGAGCGTGCAGATGCTTGACACCCCTTTTAGCGATGTCCTGAAGAACTCCTTGGGTTTTCAAAGCTCTATAGAGTCCTCCGTTACCGTCTGGGGCAGATGCAAGCTTGTGTTTCTCGTCCAACAATACTTTTCCATCAAAGTCAAAGCACGGTAACCTCCCTTGCTCGAAGAACACAATGTTATCTTCATTCAAACCAAAATATCCGTGGTCTCTAAAGAATTCCGCTGTAGGAGCCTTTGTGTGTTCAGAAGTCATGATGTACCATGTAATTTTACCTTCCTTTCCGTACTTTTGAGCAGCCATACGTTGCACTCTCAGGATTCTCTCCGCTTGAATTTGGAATAGCGTTTTCTTAGAGGGTAGTCCAACATTGTACATGCCTTTAGGGTGTCCGAAGCCGAGTCTGGTGGCTTGACCGCCAGCAAGCAGCAAGACACCCACTCTTCCTTCAGAAATCTCTCTAAATCCAATGTTTTCATACTCTTCTATCTTCTCGTTAGTGAGTCCAGGCACAGACTCGTAGTGCGTTTGCGGGATCGGCTTCAAATCGTCGTCCGTTTTCTCTAAAATAATCTTCGTGGTTTCGTTGGCGCGGCGAAAAGTTTCGTTCACTTCCGCTAGGTCTAGCTTCAGGATCTCCTTGGTGAGTTCATCTCGCTCGGAGTCGGTCAAGTCTGGCCAGAACCTGATAAGGTGCTCTTGACCGTGGGCAGACAAAGTTTCCTTCAATTTTTCGTACGACATCGCGATACTATTATCAGGTGCGGCGCGGGCGATTAGAAAGCGACTACTAGTTCATGCTTCGCGCCGCGGGCCGAGCCGATCTCCCTTCCACAACAATATTATGAAAGGAAGCAAACACGTCGGCGCCGCTTGACATTTTCACGGCATTCTTGTATTTACATTTTACATTCCCGACCACGACACTGCCATCGTGACGTATTGTCGTCGGTAGCGAATCGTCGGCTCTAATTCTAGTCACGTTGAGGATTTAGTTACTATAACTTCAAAAAGATGAGTAAAAAACCAGCAATGTGTTCAGTTTGCCATTATCAATTACGAAATGTCAAATGATAATGAGATGACCTGTGGAGATGACACAATAGTTTAGTTCAGAAACTAATACAAAGCGATAGAAAATTTACTTATTTAAATTAATGGAAAATTGGGAATCAAACTTATACAATCACAGAGATAGAAAGAAAAATGGAAATAAAACACCCATTGAAATAATCAAAATTTCGTATAGCGAACAAAAAAGTTTTTGAACGTTTCCTTTTTAATAGGGATGTGCATTTAAATTCAATTGATATTCAATTGATTCAAAGTCAAAAGTATTTTCTTATTTTCATACTTAAAAAATAATGTAATAACTTTATAATATAATGAATTTGGTTAAGTATTAGTTGGGATTTGGAGAAATAATATTTCTTGTAGAGATTTTGAGAAAATTATGTAGTGCATTTTTTTCAAATCTCGAATTCTCTACAGCTCCCATTCTCGTTCATTTCATTCCCATGTGCCATCTACGTCAAATAAAAATGTCAGTTGGCGTTGTCAGAGACGCACTTTATTTACTTCTGATAATCGTGGAATTTTTGCTAAATATATTAAAAAGTTTGGGTAACATCGTGGTATTTTTACTAAAACAGCTGATACAGCTATTGTTTAATGTAAACATGACGGAGACGTCGTCTAAGAGGAGAAAGCGGAACAATAGTGGCCCAAACAATAACCCAACGGTTGCAATCCGTGGTGTTATCAACGCGAATTGGCAGAAGTTTCTATCGAGTAACCTAATAATGGACAAGAAAACAGAGAAACCAGCGGAGGCAGACAATAAGGAGCACTACACAGGAACTTTCCGCCGCGCCAGAAAGAAAAAGGGGCAAAATGTTAGCGTAGAAAATAACCTCAAAACTTTGAATCTGAACCAAACAAACAACAATGTCGATCATAAAGATGTTTTGAATACCGAGTCAGTGGATAAAAATGACGGTAAAGTAAAAAATAACAACAAAAAAAATACTTTGACAAAATTTATAGCAATGGACTGTGAGATGGTTGGTGTAGGGTACGATGGCAACGATCACATGCTGGCCAGAGTGTCTCTAGTTAACAAATTCGGTGACTGCATCTATGATAAGTTCGTCAAAGCCCGGGAAGAGGTCATCGACTACCGAACAGAAGTCAGCGGAATCCGTAAAGAGGACATGTTGAACGGTGAAGACTTCACAACGGTACAGAAAGAGGTAGCAGAATTAATCAAGGGCCGTGTTTTAGTCGGTCATTCGTTGAAAAACGATCTGACTGTACTGTTTTTGTCACATCCGAAGAGGAATATCAGAGATACGTCAAGATACAAACCTTTTAGAAAAGTAAGTTTATGTTTTCTCTCTGAAAAACTTAAAAGGATGTTATGATTGTATATTCTTAAAATACATTTTTTTAGCATTACCTAATTACTTTCAATCCATCTATGTATAATATATGTATAAAACTCAAAGGTGATTGACTGACTGACTGACATAGTGATCTATCAATGGACAGCCCAAACCACTGGACGGATCGGGCTGAAATTTGGCATGCAGGTAGATGTTATGACGTAGGCATTCGCAAAGAAAGGATTTTACGAAACTCCACCCTTAAGGGGGTAAAATGGGATCCACGCGTACGAAGTCGCGGGCGGCCTCTAGTTTGTAAATATTTAGCTTTTGCCAATCCACTGTTGGACCCCCACTGAGCCCAAACCCTGGTTAGGTAGATTACTAGCCTACTTATATTATTTTCCTACCTTTAGATAAATACAGGTAGATATTTTTTTGGTAGACAAAACTCCTCTTATTTTTGTGATTGGCTATTATTTTAGTTAAAAATAATTTTGCATTCCATAACGTAAGGGTACCTTGATTGTCCTGTCTACTAGTATTATAAAATTGGATTCCTGATACATACTTACTTTAATATTTAAACGTAAATCTTTATTTGCAGATCACAAAAGGCAGCACTCCATCTCTAAAACGCCTTGCAAAAGAAATCCTCGGCATAGACATACAGCATGGCGAACACAGCTCCATAGAAGATGCTAAGGCTGCGATGCAATTGTACTGCACCGTAGCAAAGAAATGGGAATCGAGCATGAGTGAAAAGAGAGGGTACAATAAGAAATTTCTCGAAGATTGACGATACGTTATTTTTAGATAAAATTAGTATGTAATAAAGAATATTTTTGTATTTGCCAAATTTTTAATGTAAATATTGGTTTACATATGGATTTTGAACTGGATTCAACTAAATTTACAGTAATTTTTTAGTAAGCAAAATTCTTGTTGTTTTGGAAGTCATAATAATATGTAAATATCTAATGTTCTCCTTTTTAGTTTTTATACATAGATACTAGTTTATTTGCTGCTTTTGTTATATTAACGAAATCAATAAAGTAATGACTACAAGTTTGTAATCTTTTTGATTTGTTTGGATTAGGAAATAAAATTAGGAATAATTCTAAAATCACCTCCCCCAACTATGCTTTAGACACACTATGTCTATGAAAAACGTAAAAAATGCAAGTGACGCTGCCCACCTAAGCATTTTTCTTTGATAAGTAAAAGAAAGTCCGGTCGCCGAGCACGTAGTAATATAATAGCGTACGTAGTAGGCAGTAGCAATATAATTATGCGCGAGCGATAAGGATTGGTAGCTTGGGGTCATTGGACGAAATTCTACGTGCTCGAGGACCGGACTGTAGCCACTATTTATCTATAGGCGTCAGTGTTACTGCTACTGCTACTCTAAAGGGAAGTACCGTTAAAAAAATGCTTGTTCATTGGTAAGTATACTCATACGTTGCTAACCATTCGACTAATAAATAACCTTGCCCTTGTATGAACTTGTGTCAAGTGTATGAATTTCGTCCCATACAATCGTTTACATTTGTATGTGATCGCTTTTCCAGTGTGTTCAGTAATAAATCATTTTTGAATTGTTACATCTGACTTTTAATGTTAGTCCTATTCATATCACTTGCTATGTAAATCTACCGTAATGTAGTGCCATATAGCGTTCTCTATAAGTCAACCTAAGCAGGCATTTGTTTGCATAAAATGCATAGGATTCTTTTGAAAAGAAGATTTAAGTATTCTGATGAGCTTTTATTATTTATCATTATGAAAAATATTCTGAAACATGTCATAGCAAATGCTACACATACAGTATCTTTCCTCCCCTAATCTGTTCAATGTTATTTTCATGGTTAAACTGCTGAACAAATTTCGATGAATTTTGGTAAAGGGATTAGACCTGATAAACGTGCAATAGGGGACAAATTCCTATTACCAATTAGGTATGTTATAGCCAAACTAACGCTTGCAGCTATCGTCTCGGCGATGGCTATGGCGATTACTGCGCGTGCGTGCATAGATCGCCGCGAGCCCGCGACCAATAACAGGACGCGTTGATGTGAACTCATCGCTACAATTTCATGCAGGCTGCATGCGTTGGTTTGGCCGAACCTTGTATTAATACAAGCTAGCAAAAAAAAAAACTAAAAAGATTGTGTCCAAAATATTTTATTGCCATTCAAACCAATATCCTTAATGAATAACTTAACAAATTATTAACATGTCACTATAACTAGCTAGGAGGTCCGCTTTGCAACTTGTATAGTATTATAAACTATTTACATTTGACTATTCACTTAAAAATACAAGGAAAAACAACTCTTAAGGCTATGCTGGAATTATACGAAAAATACTAACTTACTGCTACAATAAAGCTCTTTTTCGTTTAAATGCTGTTTATATTACTATTAAAAAAATAAAGAATTACTACTTATGTGCTATGGAAATTTGTGTTTTTATGAGTTGAAGTAATTTTCAGCTTTATGCGTTAGTGGGAATATATTTCCCACCATATTTTGAACTTTATTTCTTTCACTTATGGTTCAAAAACATTGAAAAATTAGGATTTGTTAAGCCCATTAAAGGCTTAAATAACTTTATATGGTCAGCAAAAATATAGCCTTAAGAATTTTAATAATATGTTGCAAAACAGGCCTTCGAATATACACAACATTTATAAATATACAAGCGACCACTGTCACTTCATTTAGGACCACCTAGGGTGAATTTTAGGACCACTTAGGTTGATAGAACGTGTTTTAAAAAATCAGATTCAGATTTTTATAAAACATGGAATAAAGTGTATTGGAATTGACGGAACTAGAATTCGCTGCCTGCTGGTCTTTCCCACTATAATCCGGGCCTTTTCAAGGCGAGAGTTAAAAGGGCACTTACAGGGCAGGTATGTATCTCACATGCTCTTTCTTTTTCAAACTTAGTTAATTTCATTGATTGAATTCACCGTAGTCAGTCCTTCACAAGTTTGGTTGATTTTTACATACAAATTGACATTAAAAATAACAGTATCTCCGATAACACAATGCTCTTTATAAAAAAAAATTAGATGACATCTATCTACTTTATTTTAAACGAAGAAAAATCTTAAACCAATATCACATTCAAGAATTTTATAAGATTTTTTTCATTTTCTAGAAACCTACCATGCTTATTCTATGGGCCATGCACTTTCACTACTTCTTGATAGTTATCTGACAGATAACTTCTTGATAGGCTATAAGGGACCATCAGCAAGTGGTTAAATAAAGGACAAAAAGTTGCATCAATCAAATACTGTCCATACAACATCGGTGTAAGGTGTAATTTTCAATGACATCAAGTGAACACATTTTGATCTCAGATAATGCACCTTAAACCAACGGCATACGGTTGTGTATTGCTTGATACTACGACTTTTGACAGGTGTCAATATTTGACATTTACATTCCCATATTAGTAGCATGCGCATTAAAACTGAACGCAAGCAAAAACATGCTTTACTGTTCACTCTTTATAAGGCAGTGGGAATAAATTTCCCACCATATTTTGAACCTTATTCGCTTGTCTTAAGTTCCAAACACAATGATTATGTTTTGACTGTTAAAAGGTTAAATTAATATGATATGAAGCCCGGTCTCCGAGCACGTAGAATTTCGTCGCGCTCGCACACTCTGCGGCCGCCCGTCGCCTAGTCGCGACAGCAATATAATTACGCGCGAGCGACAAGGATGGGTAGCTAGGGGTCATTGGACGAAATTCTACGTGCTCGGCGACCGGACTATAATTATTATTAAAACTGGTAGTTACTTAATCATAAACATAGAAGTACATAATATAATTAACACTTAAATATTAAGAACCTAATATTGGACTGAATTACATAAGACAGCGCCCCCGGCGCTTATTTAAGGAACTACAATAAGTTCACTTAGGCCCGATTCGACCAAACTTTTATCCGAGAATAACTCCTGGTATAACTGGCACATTGACAGTTTCAGTATGGGATATAATATGTCAAAATGACAAGTTTATTCTGAGATTAATATTTACTCTTGTTTGGTCGAATCGAATCCACCCTTAATCATGGGCCGAGTTTTCCATCGTTGGATAAATTTTAAAATAAGTTTGGCACATTGACAGTTTCAGTATGGGAAATATATCAAAATAACAAGTTTATTCCTCAGTTAAAAGATATCTGACGATTGAAAAATCTGCCCTATTAAATAATACAATATTCATTGGATAGTTGACAACGTTTGACAAAAATTTAAAGGCCTCAAGTTCACTAAAACTCTTGAATATTATTCATTTACTTGACGAAAAAAAAATCTATAGGACAGTGACGTTTTGACAGCTCATATAAAAGTGCGTCAATTGACTGTAGATGTCAACTACCCTACATTTTATACATTTCATTCATTCATTCATAAAATACTTAATAAGTATTGTATTAATTACTGCTTTTATTCAACTATTTATAGTAAATAGTTGAATTAGGTATAATAAAAATTAAAAAATAACAGTTATTGTGAAGAAACATCATGAATTTGACAGAATTTTTTGCATTTTCATTTATTTATTTAAGATTTTATAAGTACAATCCAAATTATGTGTACTTTCAAAGATTTTCTGTCTTGTTTTGTACATTTATACAAAATAGAGTCAGAATAACAAAATTTATCAACGTTAACCAATTTTTTTACAATATTCACATGAGAATGACCTCTGTTGAGACTTGAATCTTCGTTCTTTCGACTCTTCTACTAAAATAGAAATAGCGAACACAGTTATTTTCTTAATGAAAATCTTACATAGTTTAATTTCTAAACTTAGAATCAATTTACATTCAGTTTTTTAAACGTTTAATACCTATTTTACGTTACACAACAATTAAAATTTCATTACTAATTAATATTAGGATGAGATGCGCACCTTATTTTAACCGTAACTATAACCTTAACCTGTGTTTTTTGTTTGGGACTTGTAAAAGTGCTCTTTGGGAGCCTATTTGCATAAATAAACAATTTGAAATTTGAATTATCGAGTTTTTGATAGAAGTAAAGAAGGATGGTGCTTTGACCGTAACTATAACCGATGTTTTTGTATGGAGTTTGACAGATTTTTGACGTTTGTCAAAGTTAAAGTAAGATGGTGCAACTCAACCTTAGTATTTTCCAAGCTGATGAAAAGAAAGACATGACTTTTACATCACCTTTGGTGATGATAACATCTCTTATATTTTGATCAAGTTAGTAAATTAGTTTACATACTTTCATTAATCTTTTAGTATTTATTTCACATCTTTTGTTAAACCGTGACAAGTGAAAACAATAATTATAATTTTGACATAACCAACGAATTAATATGACAGATTTGTTTGGAAGTGGCGCCATCTATTCAACTTCCGTCATTCTTTTTTCAAAATCCATTCAAAATTGGCGCGTAGTGCAAAATTTTTTTCTTTACTGCGTTTTGCTCTTATTAGTAATTATTTTGTATGTTTGTGTGTTGAAGTATTATTTTAACAACATTCCTCTTAAATTAACAATGCGTTCACAATTATTTATACTATCGTGCCAGCTTTGTTGAACTATTATTAACACAGTACGACTTAGGACTTGATTCTGCATCAAAATGTATTTCCTGAACACTATAATAATCCGAGCGTTTTCAAGGCGAGAGTGAATAGGCACTTACAGGTAGAGATGGGTAGTGGGTAAAAACCCATTTCACCCGATTGGGTTAAAACTGGGTGATTTGGGTAAAAACCCGGTTTTTACCCATTATCACCCATTCTGGTGGGTGAAAACAAAAATAGCGTTTTTTTAAAGTGAGAAGTGGTATTTGTTGCTAAGGGGGCGTTCTAGTGTTACGTAATGCAATCTGGAGGGAGAGGAGGTCTTGAAAAACGTTACAATGCGTTACAGTGGCGGAAGGGCGGTTCGATTTCAAGTTTTTAAGTAGAAGTACTTTGTAGTTGGTGTTGTTATTTGTAACTNCCCCCCCCCCCCGATATCCCCCCCCCTCCATGTCCTTGCCATCATCACAAATTATTGTGTTCCTACTAAATTTCTTCTACGATAAAATTGGTTCTACGATTCTTGAAATAACACCATTTTATAAAATAATTGGTCACATCATCATAACGTGATCAATTTTACGATTTTGCCACGATATAAATGCATATTGGTGTTAAATTTGACTTATTACTTATTAATCAATAAACTTAAATGAGAAAAATTCAATAAAAATAAAGAAAAGATACTAATTGAAATAATTATAAAATTATTTGTTTTCACCCGGTGTAAACACCCACGGGTGGAATGAAACGGGTTTTTATTGGGTTTTTACCCTCATGTGGGTTTTTACCCGGGTGGAAACCCATCTCTACTTACAGGGCAGGTGTGTACCATCCTAGACTGCATCTCACTTAACACCAGGTGCGATTGCCTGAATACCTGTCTTGTCTTGCATAAAAAAAACAAGGTACGAAGAGTTTAGCAGGAACAGAGTTGCCATCACTGTCTCACTTTAATTTATGTGAAAAGAAAGAGACACAAAACTAAAAATTAAGTGTGTTACTGTTTAGATTTCCTGCAGACTATAGACTTTTAAAGAGTTTGTTCGGCTTCTAATTTGTATGAAGAATCGGCCGGTACCAAGTCGGTGTAATGTGCGCACTTCCATACATGCCCATACTGATTAACAGCCCGACCAAACTGTCGGCTAATCGTCGTCTTAGTGTGAAAACCTCGTAAATGCGTTTTTTCTCATATTTATGCATTTCGGACAATCTTAGAGTTTTTTTAGGATATTAAACCGGGTTAAATTGTAGGTAGGTACTTATTGTTTTATTTTTTGGTACCAAATAAATGTTTTTTCTTTCTTTCTTTTTTTCAAATTTACATGTAAATTAACAAAAAACATAAAAGACGCTGTACAAAAATTTTACAGCACGCAGTTTTATCTTCCTCCTGAAAAAACTCTTTTTGACACTTAAATGAACAATAAAATAATTTTATTTATTTAAGAGGTTTTCACCTTTTCACTCTAAGCCGTAACGATAGTCTGCGTTTTGTCATAAGATTCCAATGAGAATGTAAGTATACAGTACACATACTTTTACACGTGACTATACAGAATCAAGCCCTTACAATTAGCATAAACTAAACGTAACTTAGACAACACGTAGCCCATATACCTGTCTCGCTCTAGCTCTGTATAGCGGCGCGGTGGTGCGAGGAGAGCGGCGAGCTGGTTGCCGACTCTACGCACGATTCCGACGCTTGCTCCGCTAGGTCTGTGGTGATCTGGTGGAGAAAGTTTGTATTGAGGTTATGGTGGTTTGAATAGTTTAAGAGTAGGCGCACACCGTTGATTTTTAGTTGGCCGATAGTTGTGCCCGATTTTAATTTGTATGACGAATCGGCCAAATCGAATCGGCGTAGTGTGCGCACTCCCATACATGCCCATACTGATCAACTGCCCGACTAAACTATCGGCCGACGAAAAATCAACGGTGTGCGCCTACTCTAAGAGAGAGGTACCTAGTGAAAACTTCATATTAGCATCGTCGGCCGTTTGGTGTAGTGGTTCAAAACGGCCTACTATGCCGAGAGGTCCCGGGTTCGATCCCCGGCCGGGCAGAAATTGAAATGATGAATTTTAATTTCTTTGACGGGTCTGGGTGTGTCTATGTATAATATGTATGTATTGAAAAAGTATTTAAGTAGTTTATCCGTTGAGCTAGCACCAATAACACAAGAATTTTAGTTGCTTTCTTTGAGGCTATATGGCGCTGTATTTTTCTGATTTCTGAACCGGAAGCTGGACAGAAGTTGAGCAGAGAGGTGATGTGGAAATAACGAAACTTTCGGCTATAGTGAAAACGGTCATTTATGTCCAGTGGTAGATTTCTACAGGCTTTTATAATCTTGGGTCCCGTTTCATCACACCCACGCTCAGTACTGTTGCGCCAAACTATCTCTCTATCTAAAGCCTGGTCCGTGAGCACGTAGAATTTTGTCCAATGACCCCAAGCTACCCATCCTTATCGCTCGCGCGTAATTATGTTGCTGTCGCGACTGTGCGACGGGCGCCCGCAGTGAGTGTGCGAGCGCGACAGCAACATAATTACGCGCGAGCGATAAGGATGGGTAGCTTGGGGTCATTGGACAAAATTCTACGTGCTCGCAGACCAAACTATAGACTCATCATCATTTCAGCCACAGGACGTCCACTGCTGAACATAGGCCTCCCCCAATGATTTCCACATCGCCCGGTTGGTAGCTTGCATCCAGCGCCTTCCTGCTGCCTTTATGAGGTCGTCGGTCCACCTTGTGTCGATGTAGACTTTCTTACCTTATAATGCGCGTGCGCCGTACAATCCGCAGGCAATCTTAGGGCTTTCAGTAAGGCAGCCAAATGGTGTGGAGGCTCGCCGGCCGCTAACGCCAGTTGGACTAGTCGCGCGACACAATATCTCTACTCAATTAATGACCTACCTTTACTTCTAATAAGGTTCAAATTTGCCTGCTAACTAAACCTAGACTGGGTGAGAGACTCGTAATCTACGTAGTCTAGAATTTTAGACTTCTATGATAAGACCTAAGATGAAGCAGGACGCAAATCACATTCTTGATTTCATTTGTCTCTTTCTTCCTTGAATTACATTCTAGTTATGCTAGTCTATATTTTATTACCTAGCAGATAAAATTCACAATGATGAAACTACTAGAAAATAATTTTTTAAATTTTAATTTTTGAGAAAATTCCCAAAATTTCTGGAAAAGCGGGATTTGATCTTGGGTCCTGTCGCATCACAACCGCGCTTTTTTCCGTTGCGCCAACCGCGCTCTTATTGTCCCTGCCGAATCTACCAATACCTTTACCAAAGGCTTGACCTTCATCATCATTTCAGCCACAGGACGTCCACTGCAGAACATAGGCCTCCCCCAATGACTTCCACATCACTTGATTGGTAGCGGCCTGCATTCAGCGCCTTCCTTCTACCTTTATGAGGTCGTCGGTCCACCTTGTGTTGATGTAGACTTTCTTACCTTATAATGCGCGTGCTCCGTACAATCCGCAGGCAGTCTTAGGGCTTTTAATAAGGCAGCCAAATGGTGCGGAGGCTCTCCGGCTGCTAACGCCAGTTGGACTAGTCGCGCGACACAATATCTCTACTCAATTAATGATCTAACCTTAATTTCTATTAAGTTAACTCAACCTAGGCTGGGAGAGCCTCATTCCTACGTAGTCTAGAATTTTAGGCTTCTATGATAAGACCTAAGATGAAGCAGGACGCAAATCACATTCTTGACTTCATTTGTCTCTTTCTTCCTTGAATTACATTCTATTTATGCTAGTCTATATTTTATTACCTAGCAGATACAATTCACAATGATAAACCTAGTAGAAAATAATTTTGTAAATTTTAATTTTTCATAAAATTCCCAAAATTTCTGGAAAGCGGGATTTGATTTTGAGTCCTGTCGCATCACACCCGCGTTTTTTTCCGTTGCGCCAACCGCGCTCTTATTGTCCCTGCCGAATCTACCAATACCTTTACCATATCGAAGGCTTGACCAAGCGAATGTAGACTCATCATCATTTCAGCCACAGGACGTCCACAGCTGAACATAGGCCTCCCCCAATGACTTCCACATCACTTGATTGGTAGCGGCCTGCATCCAGCGCCTTCCTGCTACCTTTATGAGGTCGTCGGTCCACCTTGTGTTGATGTAGACCTTCTTACCTTATAATGCGCGTGCGCCGTACAATCAGCAGGCAGTCTTAGCGCCTTCAGTAAGGCAGCCAAATGGTGCGGAGGCTCGCCGGCCGCTAACGCCAGTTGGACTAATCGCGCGACACAATATCTCTACTCAATTAATGACCTACCCTTACTTCTAATAAGGTTCAAATTTGCCTGCTAACTAAACCTAGACTGGGTGAGAGACTCGTAATCTACGTAGTCTAGAATTTTAGGCTTCTATGATAAGACCTAAGATGAAGCAGGACGCAAATCACATTCTTGACTTCATTTGTCTCTCTCTTCCTTGAATTACATTCTAGTTATGCTAGTCTATATTTTATTACCTAGCAGATACAAATTCACAATGATAAAACTACTAGAAAATAATTTTGTAAATTTTAATTTTTGAGAAAATTCCCAAAATTTCTGGAAAGCGGGATTTGATCTTGGGTCCTGTGTCGCATCACACCCGCGTTTTTTTCCGTTGCGCCAACAGCGCTCTTATTGTCCCTGCCGAATCTACCAATACCTTTACCAAAGGCTTGACCTTCATCATCATTTCAGCCACAGGACGTCCACTGTTGAACATAGGCCTCCCCCTATGACTTCCACATCACTTGATTGGTAGCGGCCTGCATCCAGCGCCTTCCTGCTGCCTTTATGAGGTCGTTCTTACCTTATAATGCGCGTGCGCTGTACAATCCGCAGGCAGTCTTAGGGCTTTCAGTAAGGCAGCCAAGTGGTGCGGAGGCTCGCCGGCCGCTAAAGCCAGTTGGACTAGTCGCGCACCCATCTCTGCTCGCGCTGCGCAGTGTCGCGGAGTTCTATAACAAAAATAAATAACCATAATAATTTTGTCGGCCGTTTGGTGTAGTGGTTCAGAACGGACTACTATGCCGAGAGGTCCCGGGTTCGATTCCCGGCCGGGCAGAAGTTGAAATTATGAATTTTAATTTCTGTGACGGGTCTGGGTGTTACTATGTATAATACGTATGTATTAAAAAAAAGTATATAAGTAGTATATCCGTTAAGCTAGCACCCATAACACAAGCATATTAATTGCTTACTTTGGGGCTAGATGGCGCTGTGTGAGATTGTCCAAAGATATTTATTATTTATTAAATAATATTAGCCTTCGAAATCCAATGGAAAGGACATGATAGTATTGGGACACCACGAAGACGTTCAAGATAAAATCAAATGGCGGCGCATGATCAGTATGAAACCAAACGTTGTTCATATCTAAATATTTACAAGTTTACACTAGTAAACTTGTAAATATTAGTAATAAATGATTGGGAAAGCCGATTCCGCATAGCGTCTTATAAGATGCAAAGGCAGGCCCTTATCAGGCCACTCATACATACACGTTCCAAATATAGCCACTTCGGGACAACATATGGGCTGGTGTTTAGAAGAAGTGGCGAAATTTTGTCACTTTTAAAATAACTGTAAAGGATTTCTTAGTAATTAATCTCATGTTGCAATATCTGTATAACAACATGGAGCAATATAGAATTTGATTTAAACGACAAGACTACATGGGCTTTGGGAGGCTACAAGGGGAGAGGGGAGGAATCAGTTTTTTATTTAGACAGGGTCCTCCCCTCTTAAAACACTTACCAAGGCATAAAATATGTTAGGTATGTATGAACTTGCGATTTGAAGGGAGGAAACGCAAAGAAGGAAGACGAAAAATACAGAAAAAGAAAGGAGAAAGAAGTACTAATTTGAAACCTGATTTCCTGAATAAATTATTTGAATGAATGAATACTCACGTAGGCTGTAGCTGTCTCAGCGAACGACAAGCGGCGGAGACTCGCGGTCTCAGCGCTTCTAGTCGCGCTAGCACAGTATAAGAAGAAGAATACTTACGTAGGCTGCAACTGTCTCAACGAGTGGCACTCAATAAAACTCCGAAGAAGAAGAATAATCACGTGGGATGAAGTAACCTTAGAGATCCGCACGCAAGAAATCACAGAAGAATAAGATACAAGTGTGTTGTCGATGATACCACAGAATAATAACAAGTACCTACTACGTACAGAAGTTTTACTTCGCGAAGGTATTTAAAAAAAAGTATGCTCAATGTCATTAACAATATGGTGTAATTTAGCCTGTCTCAAGAGTCAAGCACCATTTTGTTGACAAACGTCAGTGATCGGCACTGCGCCGAAGCTATAGGGCTGACTTCGGTAAAATGATGTGACGTGAGGTGCCAAACTGCGGAAAATGGCGGAGGAAATACATGATTTAGCATGAATTATCATGAATAATATTAACTACTTATTTACCTCTCAGTGTCTTGAGGCAACTTAAAAAAGTACATTCTGTGTTATTGTTATTTAGGCAGTTAAATACTGCACAGTATTTAGTACAGCATTTTCTTTATTTTCTTCCATCATACACAAGAATACGCGTGCGTGAGTCAATGTTCGCTCGTATGTGAGGCCTTGTCGAATAGTATCCTGTAGGTGGGCCATCGTGCGTGTTTTGTTTTCGATGTAAACTCGCGGAGATGAACAGGCCTGGTTTTTTACCTGTAGGTATTTAACGTGTTATTCACACAAAAAGGGGCTATAAACACAAATTTCGCAAATCAGTCCGAATAGAGTCAATGCACTAATTTAGGGAATTTGTGAAGTTGTTGTTATTATTTAAACAAGATTAGTATACCGTTTGAATGGGGATAGACTAGAGAAGTTTTGATAAAATCCGAAGATCGCTATCTCTTTTAAAAAAAAATTTATAGCCATGTAAACTTAAATGTTCAGTCCATTTTTAACTTTTCGGAAAAGTTCAAAGCTGAATTAAAAAAAAACTAGATGATATTTGCCAGTAAATTTAGATTTGATGCAACCCTATGTCAATGCACGTCAAAACAAAATATTTACTTTGAGGCTACGCTTAGTAGTTTTTTTTTAAATCGAAATTAAATGATGCGATTTGGGTATTTTGGTGAAATTACTAAAAAACTTAATATAAAAGTAGCCGCCTGACATGGAACGTGTTATGGGGGCTGAAAATATAGGAAATGACCCATTCTATCCGCCAAATCATTTTGGCACACGATGCGCCAAACACCCTGTATATCAATTTTGTATGAAAGCCATACTATTATTTTATTGTATTATTTATGAATACTATTGCATATGTGTTACTTAAACATGTTTTTAATGTTTTTAAAACTTAAAATCAGACAAATAAAGCAAAAACGTAAAATCTTGTTTCAAATACGAAAAAATCAACTAAAAAATAAAAATCTTATATCAAAAAGTACAAATACAGTCACAAATTTTAAAAATTGATATAATATCGTCAAAACCGGCTTGATATATATATCGGATATATATCCGATATATATCTTGATATATATCCTCGAACCCTGGTCAAGATACGCTCTTCTTGAAAGCTTGCAGGTCGTATCCGTCCGGAAACACCGCAGACGACAGTCCATTCCAGTTTGGTTGTACGGAGCAATGTTACATAAGTAAATCTAATTAAGATGGAAGAGCGAGGTACTCCTAAAATAAGTATCGAACGATTACTTTCTGGGAGACCCCGATAAAGATTTACTGGAAAGATTTGTAGATTAAATAATTACAGTGCTACATCGAGTTGAAATATCGTATCACGTCACCATTGTATAGAATTTTTACAGTATAGTTTGATGAAGCCTTGCATCCAATATATTTTATTACAACTTGGTCAAGTTATTCGTATTAATTCTATACCGCCTACTTTATTCTCAGTTTGGCCCTAAGGTTGACTGGCAGAAAATGCCGAAAGGCATTAAGTCCGCCTTATGTACACCGTTCTATGTGCATATAAGTTTTAAATAAATAAATAAATAAGTTACGATAAAGATTTACTGGAAAGATTTGTGGATTAAATAATTACAGTGCTACATCGAGTTGAAATATCGTATCACGTCACCATTGTGTAGAATTTTTACAGAATAGTTTGATGAAGCCTTGCATCCAATATTTTTTATTACAACTTAGTCAAGCTAAGTGTTATGTATCTACCATGTAATATGTGTGTATGTGTACCTATGTGTATGTGTACCTATGTGTATGTGTACCTATGTGTATGTGTACCTATGTGTATGTGTACCTATGTGTATGTGTACCTATGTGTATGTGTACCTATGTGTATGTGTGTATGTGTATGCGAGTATGAGTGAGTGTTTACAAAATGTTTTGGTTTGGTTTAAACATTGGTCTTATGTGTGTGGTTAACATTAAGATTTATTTAGTGTAAAAAGTCAGCGGCAGTCACCATTTTATCAGTAAGAAAAGAGGCCTTGGGGTGGGTTGCACCATCTTACTTTAACTTTAACAAACGTCAAGGGTCTGTCAAACTCCATATAGAAGGCACCGGTTGTTGTGGTCGCGATTGGGGTGGGGTGGTGCAATTCAACCTAAGTGTTTTACTTGGCGTGCCGTCGTCTGTACCTATACGTATAATGTTATTTAGAGGCTATGTAATAACAGTACTGTGAGAACTGCTGCCGACAAACTGTGTCACAGTTTGGCAGAAAATATTAATGTTTTTAAAAAAAAAAAAGTTACGATTAAGATTTACTGGCAAGATTTTTAGATTAATTTTATTTTATTTTTATTTTTATTTTATTGTTAGGAAAACAAACAGCATTCTATAACACATATAGAGTTACCAATTAAACTTCACATTTGCCAAAATAGTTTTCACAAATAGTTTATACATAGGTATCGTTTTTAAAAATTGAGTAAACAGAAACAGAAAAAGAAAACAAATTTTTTAGATTCTATGTTAAATATACTATGACTTGGCAATTAATTTAAACTCGAAATATCGCATCGTTGTTAAAACAATAAATAGTTAGGTAATTACTGTTTTAACAACGACCTAAATTTGTTTGGTTTTAGGCTGAAAATATCTAAGTGACAGTATTTGGAGTTATACAATTTCATTGATCTTAGAATAAATCGGTTCATCGCATAATTAGTACTGCAAGAAGAAATGGCAAATGAATCACATGACCTCATGTTCGCTCTCGGACATCGCAACAAAACCTTAATTAAATAATTACAGTGACTGACCTCGCCCACAACATGTAGGTAGTGATACAGCGCCTGTCCGCCACACTCCCAGCCGCTGACAAGTTGTTTCTGTGCCGCTTCGTTCAGTTGTTCTAGGAGAGGTGCTATGCTCTTCAGGTCGTCTGCAAATGATATTATAGCTATGAAAAATGTGACATCAGGCCTCCCCAGTTTGCCCAGTGGGAGGAGGTTAATAATAATAAATACACTTTATTGCACACCAAAGATAAGAACAGAAAGAAAAGGAACACAGAATGTCAATGTATCAAAATCTCAGGAGAGAGACAGTTTATGTATGGAATGCTCGCTAGCGAGTGCGTCCAAAAAATCTATGAACATTTCAGTCCTTGAAAGTTTCCGCTAAGGGCGCTGTACAATCCGTCATACATTTAATGTCACTTTTTTACGCAGTTGCTAGTGAACACACCTTACGTTAACTCATGGTAAGAATACTGATAATGATGATATTGTTGTGCGTTTCTTATGCAAGAAAAAGACGCTTCCTCGTTATTCATTCATCTTTAATAAACTCCTGGATTCGATAAAAAAACATACAAATCGACGTTTCAAATTAAATTATTTCTTAACACTTTCTTCATCATCATTTCAGCCACAGGTCGTCCGCTGCCAAACATAGGTCTTCCTCAAATAACATTATCATGCTTTAAGCGAATACCCAAATATTTAACTATTCCAAGTAACAAAATAATCTTGCGACAAATTCAACATGTGGTGCGATTGTGTAAGGCAATCGTATTCATTTGACAGTTCATAACGTACGGTATGATCTGTCAAACGGCTAATTCTAATTGTGTACCGAGTTCATAAAACGATAACGATTTGATCGTTATTTTACGATGAGTGAATGATCTCCTCTGTTATTGCCATGCCATAGGTAATTCAAGTTCATAATGGAGGCAATAAATGACTGAGTATTGATTTCATACTAATAATGATTGTTGCCGGCGCGTGAAACATCCTTATTTTTTTTAAACTATGGTTTTGACGTATTGTCAGTTGTAAACAAGTCTTTCGTGGTTAAGCTGTGGGTCTAGTCAAAACGCACTTTGAAATCGCAAACCCATCGCAAACAAATAAACAAATCGCAAAAGAGGTCGATAACAAAAAAGGCTTAGCCATACGGCAAAAAATCGAATCGCAAAGCCCTACCTACCGATAATCGAAAGACTGGATTGAAATTTCCCATACAAAGGCTTAGCCAACATGCATTTAAGACTCAATCAAAATCGAATCGAATCGCAACACCCGCCATTTTCATTGCGATTACTAAAACCCCGGTGATAAGCTTCGATTCGATCGAAAACCAATAGCGTGAGTTGCACCACCTAACTTTGACCGTAACTATGACGTTAACCGGTGTTTCTTTTGTCAAAGTTAAACTAAGATGGTGCAACCCACCCTAAGGCTGTTTTGACAAATCCGTATCGCGATGTCGTTTTGACAGCTCGTTTGACAGCGAAGCATAGACGTAAACAGACAGCAGAAAGAAGGAAGAAACTAATTTAAAAAAAAAAGCTAAAAAAAGTGAAAACAATCGCAAAGTCATAGACATTTTTTAACTTTTATTCGATTTTGAATGAACTTTTATATCGCCGCGTCGTTGGTGGTTCAATGTGCATTGTGGCTGCCATTTTCCGATCGAATCGAATTACTGGTGACGCGGCGACTGACATTAGCGAAAACTTCATTATGGTTTGCGATGGCATTTTGACTAGAGCCACTGGTGGCTATAATGATAGCGATGTGTGTAGTGTCAAGTCTAACCTCCAAGCACGGCTTGCGTCTGGAGCTCCTCCAACAAGACGCGGTGCGCCGCGTTGTACTGACGCGCGCCTAACAAGTGCTCCGCTTCGATCGCCGGCAAGTGCTGCGAACAAATAGTTTTAGTTTTAAAAACAGTGGGATTTGAAGACCGACTAAAGCCCGGTCTGTGAGCACGTAGAATATTGTCCGATGACCCCAAGCTACCCATCCTTATCGCTCGCGCGTAATTATATTGCTGTCGCGACTGTGCGACGGGCGCCCGCAGTGAGTGTGCGAGCGCGACAGCAACATAATTACGCGCGAGCGATAAGGATGGGTAGCTTGGGGTCATTGGACAAAATTCTACGTGCTCACGAACCAGACTATACAATAAGGAAGTTAAGGCTTGAAGCCATAATAGCCGAACGGGGAATGGGTCGGACTGGTCGACTCGAGATATGAGGAACGCGGGTTCGAATCCCATCGCCGTTCGACTACTCTAGTGAGCCCACTCGTGAACCAGGAAAACAAATAACTCGTTACAGAGGCCTAGCTCCTCGCATGGAAAAATACAGTCCGCAACTATGCTCCGCTCCGTTATCTCGATCCGCTTCAGTAGAAAAGCCGTAATAATATTGCCGTAATTGTTTTCTGAATAAAACAAAATAAAATAAAATAAGCTTTAGACTCAAGCCAGATATTGTATCGGTGGGAGTGATTAGTAAAAATGGTGTAATAGGATAAGAGACTCACCTCGTACTTAGCTCGATGCGCCCTCGCCAGTAGCACCCACTCGGCGGGCACTCTAAGCTTGGCTATCAGCTCCAGTCGGTTTGTCAGTTCGGGAGTGTCCGCTTTGACCGGCACTTACTCAGTAGGGAGCACACAAAGCTTGACCACTAGGCTACTCGTCCACAGAAGCGGAGCCAACGGAGCGGAGAGCTAGGTGGCGGAGCGGAGAGCTAGGTGACGGAGAGGAGAGCTAGGTGACGGAGCGAAGAACTAGGAGGCGGAGCGGAGAGCTAGGTGACGGAGACGGGAAGCGAAGCGGAGAAAACAAATGACTTGACCTAGCTCCGCGTATGGAAATCGTGGTCTACCCTAAAGTGCCTCGCTGCGCTCAGTTTAAGCTGTAGAAATGTATACAAATGGTGATTTTGTACATTGTAGTACAACTAAAGACTCACCTCGTACTTAGCTCGGTGTGCCCTAGCCAGTAGCACCCATTCCGCGGGCACTCTGAGCTTGGCTATCAGCTCTAATCGGCTGGTTAGTTCTGGGGTGTCCGCTTTGGCCGGCGCATAGCGGGACAACACGCCTCTGATGAGGTGGCCTCGGCTGTAGAGGTGATAAACTCATAAGAAACTCATTTTATTTTCACAAATAAGCCTAAAAACACTTTTACATACATAGATGATAAGTTTTTAAATTGTAAAATTATTGGGATAAGTCAGCCTCGAAGCCTGTGAATACAATGATAAGAGACAGTTTGAAACAGCCTTGAATGAATATGAATGAATGAATAAAATAATAATAAATAACTTAATTTCTCTACTAAAATGTGTAGTTTCGACATGTTTATGAATTTTGAAAAATAATAGTAAAGTCATTATAAAGGAGCTACTTTAGAGTAGTTTAATGCCCAAAAACAGAGGTGGAATTGTGTAAAGTTAAAGCAATCGTAATCATTTGACAGTTTATAACGTACGATAAAATCAGTTAAACAAAGCGTTTGACAGAATAATCGTACGTTATGAACTGTCAACTGATAACGATTGCTTTACACAATTCTACCTCTGATTAGAGATGGCTAAAGACACGCGACGTTGTTTGACGACGAAGACGAATGTGTATATTGTAAAACAACACTCACGCTATAGCATCTGGATGGAACGCCAAAGCCTGCACCGCCAGATGCCAGAGTCCACACGCTTCCAATTGGTCCGCTACGCCCGTAATGCTGTCTATGGTTGGGTGCCCAAACCACGTGCCGAGCAGGAAACTGGAACAAATAAATAGTAATATGAGACTTAAAAATTATATTTATGTCTTTTATAAACTAAAATACGAATGAACGAATTTTGATGCACTTTTCACCAATAGACAGTTTGACACCATACCCCAATAATTCGAAACCACAACTGTTTTAAAAATACTCTTCATTCTGGTCTTAAAAACCTAATTTATTTTAAATTACCTGTAAATCGAAATTTACGTTTGTTCGAATTGTAATTGAAAAAAGTAGTTTAATTGGGTTAACAAAATAGTGACGTCACTTTCTTGTAGTGCCATACAAAATCTATGGGAGAGTTTCGTTTTGACAGTTTTAAAAAGTACGTCAATTGACTGTGGTGTCAATATGTCTATTATAAGAAGCTATCCGCCCGCGGCTTCGCTCGCGTGGAATTTTGTCTGTCACAGAAAAACTTTATAGCACGCGTCCCTGTTTCAAATACCGGGATAAAAACAATCCTATGTCCTTTCCTGGAACTCAAACTATCTCTATGCCAATTTCATCAAAATCGGTTCAGTGGTTTAGGCGTGAAAACAAGACAGACAGAGTTACTTTCGCATTTATAATATTAGTATAGATTCACGGAGAATGTTAAGTTAGGTATTTAATTTGTTGAAACAGAATTTTGAAACCAAAGATTTTCTGTGGCACACATATTCACTCGGCCGAAACAGGGCATTTGGTTTCTCCACTTCTCTGCTCTGAAATCCACTACGCTTTTTTGTATGAATTTTAAAGCGGTCCGCAACTCATGTCCACTGAAGCGGAGCGGAGATGTTATTCTCCATTCCAATTCCATTCGTAGATTTTTATCTTGCTCACCGACAAGCAGCCTAAAATTTGCTAAGTAATACAGCAGGCTTTCCCAAAGTGGGCGATAACGCCCCCTTGTGGGCGCTGCAGGCTTAAAGGGGGGCGTTAAGAGACCCAGAAAAAAATCGGGACGTTGTGTAGAGGCTTGGGAGGCGTCATCTACTAGGAGGACTCTTAGACACCGACTGAGCTCGACTCTTGACTACATAAATGGGGGGCGCTAAAAAATAATTTATTCTCAGAGTGGGCAGTAGACTAAATAAGTTTGGGAACCGCTGTAATACAGCAACCTATAAGCTGCCAAAAGCATCGCATGAACGACCAACCATTTAAAACATAGACACTTACCATAGACTGTAATCGAGCGGGTCAGGCGAGTAGCTGGCCGGACGGAGTCGCGGGCGGCCGTTAGTCGCGCGCGCGCGGATCAACTCGTAGCGCAGGTCCAATACGCGGAGCAGGCTGTCATTCTGTAAAGGATAAAGGACATAATCATTGAAACTGTGAAATGCAATAAAGAATTGAGTGTTGAGTATTAATTAGTGTGGCAGTGGGCGGGGCACATAGCTCGTAGAGACGATGGCCGTTGGACCAGGAAAGTTCTCGAGTGGCGACCACGGGCTGGAAGACGTAGGGTAGGCCTCCCACGAAGTGGACCGACGATCTGGTAAAGGTCGCGGGAAGAGCCTGGATGCGGGCAGCGCTGGACCGTTTATTATGGAAAGCCTTGGGGGAGGTCTTTGTCCAGCGTATTTATATTGCTGTCGCGACTGTTCGACGGTGAGTGTGCGAGCGCGACAGCAATATTATTAATGATGGGTAGCTTGGGGTCATTGGACGAAATTCTATCAGCTCGGCGACCGGACTTTAGACCTATAATCGTTTAATCACTATTACTCACCTCTCTCATCTCGCACTGGCTCATATAAGGCGGCAGGGGTAACTTCATGCTCATTTCGTCCACTTCTACAAGACTGAGGTCTATTTCTTCTTCTTCTTCTGTGCTGTTTGAGAAGAAACCTTCGTATTTGCGGACTATTCGCTCTAGGGTCGGCACTTGCGGGCAGATGTATCTGTGAACGACATTTGTATAGATTAATAAAGAAATTTGAATTGCTAGGTTGAGACCAGGGATGTTATGGATATCCGTAACCGTAACCGAAACTTTCGGATATGCGAAATAAAAAAATATCCGTAACGAGTTTCGGATAGTTTCGGATGTAGGTAGACCTCTGCCTAGACTTCAAGCAAGTCCCTACGCTGATTTAATAATTGGATTTTAAAGTAGGTACATGAGTTTTTTACCATAAGATAAAAGCTTTTTTGTTAGATCAAAAGAAGGTGACATCTGCAAAGAAATCTCTTCTGCACCCATTCTATTCGTAAGGCATGAACTGTTGGAAAAGTATTGCAATTTGCATTCTATAGCATACATATACAGGGTGGAATTTTGTAATGCCACCTGGAGGGAAAGTACTCTTAATACTGTAGATAGTTAAAATAGATACTGTAAAAAAAAAAAAAAAAAAAAAATAGAAAACTTTACTGAAAGAAAACATTCCTTTATTTTTGAAAAGAAAGAAAACTGCATTCAAAGACTTTCAAAAATTTTTCGAAAATTCACTACCACCATAAAATTTTCTGTACATAATTAAATTATTTTAAGATTTCATGGTTTTCCTTTCATTTGATTTATCAAGTTTGTTAGAGAGATTTTATCCTTATACTTAACCCTAACGATCAATGTAATAAAAATACAGGGTGTAATTTTTAACAGATTTTAGTTAGTTCGATTCCCGGGTGTGGCAAGCAAAATTTTGGAAATCTTTGAATGCAGTTTTATTTCTTTTAAAAAATAAAGGAATGTTTTCTTTGAGAAAAAAAATATATCTACAATATTAAGAGTACTTTCCTTCCAGGTGGCATTACAAAATTCCACCCTGTATATCCGTAACCGTAACCGAAATTTTCGACTTCTGGTGCCGTTTTTCAGTACTCAGAGTACTGATCTGAGTATCTTCTGTTTTCTTCTAAACTCTCACCTGGCAGTAGCTTTTTCCTTCTCTCTCACCAAGGGAAAAGAGAGAGAGAGAAAGGGTGTTTTCTTTTCTGTCACTAAAACAGCTTAGCGTGTAAAGCAGCCAATCAGCGCAATGGTCGCATTACGTCGCGTCGCATCACTCATATCACGTACCGTCGCTCACCGAGGACAACATATGGGAGAGAGGGTGTTTCTCAGACGTCAGACTCTCTCTCTCTCTCTCTCTGTGTGTGTGTGTGTGTGTGTGTGTGTGTGTGTGTGAAATCTCTTTCTCACCTAGCAGTGGCGTGTAAGGCTCTCAGCCAGTCCGCGTCTTCCAACTGCGCTCTTTCCCCAGCGAGCAGTCGTAACGCCGCAAAGCGATTCTTGGCGATCTTGGCGTCGGCGCCGCACGCGCGCCATTGGGAAAGTTGACGCGATAATAGCGAACGGAATGTTGGGGAACCTAGAAATAAAGAAAATAATGATCAAAATCGTAACACTTTGCAAGTGAAGTCTTTGCAAGCCGACTTGAGAACATAAGGTTCTTCGAATCAGTTATTTGGCCGTTTGGCGATGCTTTAATTTTATTAAAAGTATAAGCGCGTCACGGCAGGAGTGACTTTGACATAATTATTATGACTTGACAGAGCATACAAAAACAAATGAAATGCACATTTAAAGTCTCGCTGACGTTTGACGTCACAAAAACATCCTCTCGTGCATGAAAAACGAACTGACTTGAGTTATGTGCTAGATCCCATACCTCAGGCACTGACGGAGTTATGTACAGTCACGGAATGAAAAGGTTCGTAAGTTTTCAAATTGATTCCTTCAACGAATCGCGAGCACATATTACCTTTTGAAACTAAGTTACAGAATAATCTCGAGTTAGAGAAAATAATCTTTAACTGTTCGTCAGTAAAGTTCAAAATTATTCAGATCATAGTTGTTTGACGATTTATCTTGTCAAGAAGAATATTATGATTGATAATCTAAAACCTTCTTGTTGGTTCAACCTGCCATTATTATTTCGATTAAATAAAAAAAACTATTGTCAATTATTGGTCAATGTCATCATTGCATTGCACTGATGGGATAGAAAAATAAACAAGCAAAACCTTATTCGTTAGCAAACGTCATATTTATTTAAATGTTAGCAGCACTGTTTCTTGCACTGTTATGTTGGCAGGTTTGACTCTTACAGTACCTAGTGCAAGCGAAAACCGACACTAAGGTGACGAACCTTTTCATTCCGCGACTGTACCTACTAGACCTATCTTCTTGTCGTGTTGACAACAACATACAGTGTCAGCCCAAAACTCCGCTACAAGAGTGGCGTTGTCAGCAGCATTCGTTACATCTTCCTGCGTGCAGTTGTTTGGGCTATGACTAGGCCTATACAGTTCTTGCAACTCACGAAGGCTCATTCGCTTTACTTGTGTGTGTACGTGTACATGCACATAACGATAGTGTAATGTCTATCAAAACTTGAGAAAAATCAGTAGCGAGCCACCACACATATAAAGCTCACTCGCCTTCGTGACTTACAACAACTATAATAAACTAGCTTTTGCTCGCGGCTTCACCCGCGTGAAATTTAGTGCCATAGATTCGCATAAATTATAGCCTATATGTTAATCTGGGTTACAAATAATAGTACTGTAAAGTTTCAACCAAATCCGTTCAGTAGTTTTTGCGTGAAAGAGTAACAAACATTCACACAAACTTTCACCTTTATAATATTAGTAGGACTATTGTTTTTATAAACTTACCGGCAGCCTGCGCTATAAGCACGGCCATGTTAAGGTCCCCGCGCTCGCGGCAAAGCTTGCAGGCTTCTAATACTCTTCCACCTAGCAGCAGCGACCAAACACGGGAACTATGGCCGTCCTCTTCTGCAAGTAAAACAAAATTATTTATTGTATTGTAAGGTTTTTGGGTCCTTCTGCAATCATTCATACGCCAGCATTCACAAACATTACGAGGTCTCCCAGTGCGCGTGGACGCACAGGGTGACAAACGAACCAATCCGAGCTCTATTCAACGCTGTGCGTTGGATTTGCTGCTTCACTTAAGCAAGCATCGTTTGTGAATACGGGCGTTAGATTTTGGCTTATACCACAGTTGTGAACTGTGTTATCATGTATGTAATTGTAATCTGTTTTGAGACAAATAAATACTTTCTATCTATTCTATACACACAATACTTAATATTTAATAGTTTCAGAGCAGGGTTTTATTTATTTAAAACTAATGAGAATGACAACTAGGAGGAAAAGCCTTTAAGCTATGTGTAATAGACACATAATTGACAAAATTAATTTTATAAAATCCGATTTGTATGAAAAATAAAATAATTAAAATGAACATATGAATTTTCTGACTTCACCATACCATTTATATGACCATGTTAACATGGGCTAGTGTCGGCTCATATACCCATTTACCTAACACCCTGTATAATACTGTAATTATTCGATTAAGGAAAAAAATAAAAAATATGAGTCTAATATTTTCTAATTATCTGTCTGACGGACGAAATAGAATTTCGATTTCATTACCCTGTCATCATCCCTATGGTACTTCTATACATAACTTTCCCCGGGACAAACTTGGCCTTCACTAGTTGGGTTCTATCTAAGAGCCAGGATCTATCCTGGCTACATAGGAATTGCAGCGGTGAGAATAGTCTGGCGACGTGCGACAACAAACGTACCATCCTCAGTTTCTCCTTTGCTAGGCTTGCTGAGCTCGTTGTCTGTGGTCTCCGCGACTGCTTCCCGCAACCACTCCAGTAGTTTATGGTAGCGGTTCACCACAGACGCCACGTCTGTGCCTGGGACGCCTGGGGAATAAAAAAAATAAGCGGTTATCACGCCATTTTATAGATTTTCCCCATACATTTTGACGTCGATAAAAGTTATCACGGAGCGCATTTTAGATATGTGAAAGACCACACATGACGCAACCAGTTTGAAACTGGTTTGAAATGGTCGCGTCATGTGTAGTTTCTCAACGGAATCTATGGCAGAAACTTAGATGCAACTCAAAAGTAACTAAAGTTGCAGTTTCGTTGCAATTGCGTTTCACCGTGTGTTCTGGGCCTTAGGCCTACAGGAAACATCCCTATTTCTATAAGATGAGAGTTTTATGACCAGATGATGATGATGATGATGATGATGAATGAGCACTTACCGTCATTGTCAAGGTCCGCGCCCCATAGCGCGTCGCACAGCTTCCACACTTCGTAGCAATAGGCTCTGCTCACGCCGAACTGTGGACAAAATTATACATAAGTACGAAAATAACATAAGCAGCATGGGACGACCTCATAATGGTAGCAGGAAGGCGCTGGATGCAGGCCGCTACCAACCGGGCGATGTGGCAATCATTGTGGGAGGCCTATGTTCAGCAGTGGAAAGAAAGAAAAATTATTTATTTGACAACTTAAAATAAAAAAAGGGCAATATAAAAATACAATTATAAAAAAAGTACAAAGACAATGAAGAGAAAAAAGAAAAAAGAAATGTTGCCAAAGAGGTTACCCACTCAGTATCATCTTGACAGTTGACATTTTACTGCCAAGTGCCAAGACACTGGTTTTCAGTGGGTACCTTGTACGCAGGGGCAAAAAGAATGTAATAAATTAAAAAAAATATATAAACTCAAATCAATTAAAATTCACATTAAAATAAAATTACAATAAAATTAACGAAAAACAATACAATTAATAATTTCAAATAAACATGTCAAGAAAAAAAAATTAAAAATTAAAATTCACAATAAAATAAAAATTATAATAAGAATAAAAATTAAAGATAAAACAAAACAATTAATTTCAAGTAAACATGTCAAAAATAAATTAAAAATTCACATTAGAAAATTAAATATGAATGATATGGACGTCCTATGGCTGAAATGATGACGAGCATAATAACATACAGGGCAAGAAAAAGCCACATATCGTATGAGTTTGTGCTATCACCATGGATACTTTTGTTTATTTATATTTTATACTTATATGCAAACATTTTAACATAAGGCGAAGTTAATGCCATAAGGCGTTCTTCAACATACATTGTATATTTTTTTGAAGAAGAACAACTCATAATATCGGAGTAAAGAATCAATAGAATCATACAATAGGCTAGTTGCCAAAAAAATTTTTTTAGTCCGTAATGTTTAATATCAAAAAATATTGGACACGTATATTTTTATTTGTCAATCTAACAAATAATTACATAGTTATGGTGCGTTGAAGTTGCGCACGACGTCACAACGTGCGGCATTTTTAAGCAAGCGTTGACGTCACGGGCCTCTTCTTATGAACTTTGGGGCGCTTTATCTCTTTAAATTTTCATTAGTTTGAAAAAGTGAAAAATACGTGTAGAGTATTTTTTGATAAGTTAACTGACGGACTAATTAAAACTCTTGCTTTTTGACCCAGGCAACATCCCCATTCGTAGATAGAGACTGACAGCTGACAGTTACGCACAGCTCACATCTCCTCTCCGCTAGTTTCTCTCCGCTTTGGTGGAAAAAAGCTCTTCTCCTCACCTCTCCGCTTTGCTGAAAACCGGACCTAAGTAATGTGTCAATAAAGTTCTAAATCTATTTCCACTCACCCCGCCGCCACTCTTGTTAAGCTGTCGCGCGTCCCTCAAGTGTTTGTTCAGTAACTCCCTTCGGTCTTTGGGTTCCTTCTTAACTTGTAGCTGAGGGCACTGGCCCTCCTCACAGGGCAGTACACAACCAATAGTCATACACTTCGTAGACAGCTAGACTGGCAGCTGACAGCGATAGACTGGCAGCTGACAGCGATATACTGACAGCTGACAGCAATAGACTGACAGCTGACATCGATAAACTGACAGCTGACTGCAATAGACTGACTGCTGGTAGCGATAGACTGACAGTAGACAGCTAGACTGGCAGCTGACAGCGATAGACTGGCAGCTGACAGCAATATACTGACAGCTGACAGCAATAGACTGACAGCTGACATCGATAAACTGACAGCTGACTGCAATAGACTGACTGCTGGTAGCGATAGACTGACAGTAGACAGCTAGACTGGCAGCTGACAGCAATAGACTGACAGCTACGCACAGCTTACATCTCCTCTCTGCTTTAGTGAATATAACCTGACAGTATCACCGCACATCTCCTCTCCGCTAGTCTCGCCTCCTCTCCGCTTTGGTAGAAACAACCTGACAGTATCACCGCACATCTCCTCCGCTAGTCTCACCTCCTCTCCGCGAGTCTCGACTCCTCTCCGCTAGTCTAATCTCCTCTCCGCTAAGTGCTGTATAAAGTGTGTCTATATCTACTTCCACTCACCCCGCCGCCACTCTTGTTAAGCTGCCGCGCGTCCCTCAAGTGTTTGTTCAGTAACTCCCTTCGGTCTTTGGGCTCCTTCTTGACTTGTAGCTGAGGGCACTGGCCCTCCTCACAGGGCAGTACACAACCAATAGAGCCATACACTTCGTAGACAGCTAGACTGGCAGCTGACAGCAATAAACTGACAGTAGACAGCAATAGACTTACAGCTGACAGCAATAGACTGAGAGTAGACAGCTAAACTGGCAGCTGACAGCGATAGACAGCTGACAGCAATAGACTGACAGCTGACAGCGATATACTGACAGCTGACAGCAATAGACTGACAGCTGACAGCAATAGACTGGCAGCTGACTGCAATAGACTAACAACTGACATCGATAAACTGACAGCTGACAGCAATAGACTGACAGCTACGCACAGCTTACATCTCTCCGCTAGTCTCGTTTCGTCTCCTCTCCGCTTTAGTGAATATAACCTGACAATATCACCGCACATCTCCTCTCCGCTAATCCCGTCTCCTCTCCGCTAGTCTCGTCTACTCTCCGCTAGTCTCGTCGTCTCTCCGTTAATCTAGTCTCCTTTTCGTTAGTCTCACCTCCTCTCCGCTAGTCTCGTCTCCTCTCCGCTAGTCTCGCCTCCTCTCCGCATTGGTAGAAACAACCTGACAGCATCACCGCACATCTCCTCTCCGCTAGTCCCGTCTCCTTTCCGTTAGTCTCCTCTCCTCTCCGCTAGTCTCGCCTCCTCTCCACTTTGGTAGAAACAACCTGACAGTATCACCGCACATCTCCGCTAGTCTCGCCTCCTCTCAGCTTTGGTAGAGACAACCTGCCAGTTTCTCCGCTCTTCTCCTCACCTCTCCGCTATGTTCAAAACTGGACCTAAGTGCTCTGTCGATAAAGTCTATTTCTTCCACTCACCCCGCCCCCACTCTTGTTAAGCTGTCGCGCGTCCCTCAAGTGTTTGTTCAGTAACTCCCTTCGATCCTTGGGCTCCTTCTTGACTTGCAGCTGAGGGCACTGGCCTCCTCGGGAGTACACAACCAATAGAGTCATACATTTCATAGATAGCTAGACTGGCAGCTGACAGCAATAGACTGACAGCTACGCACAGCTTACATCTCTCCGCTAGTCTCGTTTCGTCTCCTCTCCGCTTTAGTGAATATAACCTGACAATATCACCGCACATCTCCTCTCCGCTAATCCCGTCTCCTCTCCGCTAGTCTCGTCGTCTCTCCGTTAATCTCGTCTCCACTCCGCTAGTCTCGTCTCCTCTCCGCTAGTCTCGTCTAGTCTCGCCTCCTCTCCGCTAGTCTCGTCTAGTCTCGCCTCCTCTCCGCTTTAGTAGAAACAACCTGACAGTATCACCGCACATCTCCTAGGCTAGTGTCACCTCCTCTCCGGTAGTCTAATCTCCTCTCCGCTAGTCTCGCCTCCTCTCCGCTTTGGTAGAAACAACCTGACAGTATCCCGCACATCTTCGCTAGTCTCACCTCCTCTCCGGTAGTCTAATCTCCTCTCCGCTAAGTGCTGTATAAAGTGTGTCTATATCTACTTCCACTCACCCCGCCGCCACTCTTGTTAAGCTGCCGTGCGTCCCTCAAGTGTTTGTTCAGTAACTCCCTTCGATCCTTGGGCTCCTTCTTGATGGAAGTACCTCAGAGTACTCCCGTAATAGTACTGAAGACTTAGATTATAACAAAAAGGGAAGATACGGCATGTCCTTATGTAAATATGAAAAAAAAAAAACTAGCGGGGTTACACCGAAAAACGTTATCCGAAGTTTCGAATGTTGCCATCCCTCTCACACAAAGCGAGATGCCAGAATGAGCGACGGTGACAGATAGACCTAAAACTACGTAAACAGTGTTTCGGAGTAACCCTGTAGGCCGTGAACTTAGTTTTTAGTTCCTGAATTATTCGTACACTAACGCTCGCGTGTATTGCATAGGTTAGGCCGATTGTGATTGAAGCGAATGTGACCATGGGTATGTTTGAGTATGACTTTTTTGCACTTTTGAGACGCTTATGTCGAATCTTCCCTTTTGGTTTTAATCTACGAAGAGCATATATAATATTCCACTCACCCCGCCGCCACTCTTGTTAAGCTGCCGCGCGTCCCTCAAGTGTTTGTTCAGTAACTCCCTTCGGTCTTTAGGCTCCTTCTTGACTTGCAGCTGAGGGCACTGGCCCTCCTCACAGGGCAGTACACAACCAATAGAGCCATACACTTCGTAGACAGCTAGACTGGCAGCTGCCAGCGATAGACTGACAGCTGACATCAATAGACTGACAGCTGACAGCGATATACTGACAGCTGACAGCAATAGACTGACAGCTGACATCGATAAACTGACAGCTGACTGCAATAGACTGACTGCTGGTAGCGATAGACTGACAGTAGACAGCTAGACTGGCAGCTGACAGCGATAGACTGACAGCTGACAGCAATAGACTGACTGCTGATAGCGATAGACTGACAGCTGACAGCAATAGACTGACAGCTGACATCGATAAACTGACAGCTGACTGCAATAGACTGACTGCTGGTAGCGATAGACTGACAGTAGACAGCTAGACTGGCAGCTGACAGCAATAGACTGACAGCTACGCACAGCTTACATCTCCTCTCTGCTTTAGTGAATATAACCTGACAGTATCACCGCACATCTCCTCTCCGCTAGTCTCGCCTCTTCTCCGCTTTGGTGGAAATAACCTGCCAGTTTCTCCGCTCTTCTCCTCACCTCTCCGCTATGTTCAAAACTGGACCTAAATACTCTGTCGATAAAGTCTATTTCTATCTAACTCACCCCGCCGCCACCCTTGTTAAGCTGCCGCGCGTCCCTCAAGTGTTTGTTCAGTAACTCCCTTCGATCCTTAGGTTCCTTCTTGACTTGCAGCTGAGGACACTGGCCCTCCTCACAGGGCAGGAGTTCCGAGTATTCCCGAAGGGTCTCCATGTGGCGGGAGAGCGCTTCCTGTGGTAAATAAATGGTAAATGATTATAAGCCCACTCACAAGGTGGACCGACGACATCGCAAAGGTAGCAGGAAGGCGCTGGACGCAGGCCGCTACCAGCCGGGCAACTTTGAAAGCATTTGGGGAGGCCTATGTTCAGCAGTAGACGTCGTATGGCTGAGATGATGATGATGATTATTATTATTATTATTTACTTGCTTTAAAAAAAGGGTAAGTACATTTAGGGCTCATTCCCACGATAATTCAGCTTTGCAGGATCCAGTAATGCAGAATCCTACAAAACTGTAGCGTTATTCACGTAACAAAACTTCAACGACAACAAAACACTGAGTTGCGATCCTAACGAGTAATCGTTCTATCGAAATGACCCTTGTCAATACGGATTTAGAACTGTTTTTCAATGGGACGACTTCCGAACGTCAGCGAAATCTTGACTGTCAAAATACGTGAATTAGGCCACTGGACTGTCGTGGGAACACACGTATAGTTCCAAAATACTGAACAGTCCTATGCATGACATTGACAGTGGGGCGCCACCGTCAATACCGGATCGCTGGTTCCGATTTTTGCCATGTTGGAAACCATATAGTTGAACGATGGTAGCGCCCCCCTGTCATTGAGTTTGGTGGGACAGTTCAGCGTGGGTCATCTATATGTCTGAAATTCTAATTACAAATTCGAAAAGATCGGTTTTTTTTAAGGATACTGCAAACGGGATGTTCGTGTGAAAATAAATATTAAAACTTTAAAAGTGATCTTTGGGACACCCTGTATACGGATAATTTACCTGCAGATATTTAGCGGAGTCGCCTTGCGTCTCCAGCCGCGCCAAGGCGATCTCGCTCCAGTCTGAACTGAGCCGCCCGCGCAAGTATTTGTTGAGGTCGCATAGCTCTGCGGCTATTGGTGGAAAAAAAATAGTTATAAGTGTATTAGTATAATTTATTTTAATGGCATGTTTTAATACAGACGTCCGAGTGGAACCGTTACACGCATACTACACTGGACCGCAAAGAAAAAGGGTCGGTTAGAAAATCTTAATTTCTTCTAAAGTACCTGACTGTTTCACTGTTTTGTACAATAAATCAATCACTGCAACAGTCACAACGTATCTGAAGCACTATTTATCATAAACATCCACGACTTCACTCACGTAAAATCTGAAAATATTACAGTTCAAATTTTTAGCGTGCTACTATGAACTGTCAAATAGTTGCAAAAAACTGTTCTGTTTGACGTGACGGCGACGGCATCACGCATCTCTTTTTATCACACAGTGTTGCTGCTAGCACAGAATAATAAAAAGTACTACGTACAGAAGTTTTACTTCGCGAAGGTATTTAAAAAAATGTATGCTCAATGTCATTAACAATATGGTGTAATTTAGCCTGTCTCAAGAGTCAAGCACCATTTTGTTGACATACGTCAGTGATCGGCACTGCGCCGAAGCTATAGGGCTGACTTCGGTAAAATGACGTGCCGTGAGGTGCCAAACTGCGGAAAATGGCGGAGGAAATACATGATTTAGCATGAATTCATGAATAATTTAATTGGTAACTCTATATGTGTTATAGAATGCTGTTTGTTTTCCTAACAATAAAATAAAAATAAAATAATATTAACTACTTATTTACCTCTCAGTGTCTTCAGGCAACTTAAAAAAGTACATTCTGTGTCTTTATTATTATTTAGGCAGTTAAATACTGCACAGTATTTAGTACCCCATTTCTTTATTTTCTTCCATCATACACAAGAATACGCGTGCGTGAGTCAATGTTCGCTCGTATGTGAGGCCTTGTCGAATAGTATCCTGTAGGTGGGCCATCGTGCGTGTTTTGTTTTTGATGTAAACTCGCGGAGAACAGGCCTGCTGCTAGTGACATCTCGCTCGCTCAGTTTTTTTTGCTCTATTCCGCTAGGTATATTTACTTTATGGGTATGCATAAGATTCTAATATAAGATAAAGGTGATTCTAGACCCCATAAAACAAAACAAAATCACTATTTCATACATAACTTGTTGTCACCTATCAATGTCATCCGCTTTGCAATGGAGGGAAGTTGAACCTTAACTTCGAACTCCTCCTATGTTCTTTTGATTAATTTCGGTGCGAGTCTAATTACAGTTTAACTTCCCCCCGGGACAAACTTGGCCTTCACTGGTTGGGTTATTGGCGGTCAAGCTGTAGATCCTGGCTACACAGGAGTTGCAGTGGTGGGAACGAGAGGTGGGAATAGTGTTTATTTCACACATAAGACTTACTTTTAGGCAGCCCGTTGATCGAGTCGTAACTCGTGACGTAAGCTAGCGTCGCTTTTGGCCCGAACCCGACGCGCGAATGTCTCGCTCGGCACACCGACATGTCTGCTAGGTACGCAGCGCCCAGCTTGCCTGAAACGAAACAATATTTTACTCAGGTTACAGACTAAGAACTAAGCTCAGTTAGTTAAGCTTAGCTCACATAGCTGACGCAGTTTTCAATAGTATTTGCATAGTTTGCAATATGCACACAATTGGTCATAAATTAAAGCCTATATGTTATTCTGGGTTATAAACAATAATACTGTGAAGTTTCATCAAAATCCGTTCAGTAGTTTTTGCGTGAAAGAGTAACAAACATCCAGACATCCATACAAACTTTCGCATTTATAATATTAGTATAGCCTGACCAGGAACATAAAAACCCTCGCCATGTTGCGGAAATCTAATGGTACTAATTTCTTTTAATGGCAACAATAACTAAAAACTTCATTGACATGTCACCTTGCATGTCAGTCTATTGCTGTCAAAGTGTAAACAAACTTTATTTTAAATGTGCGCAATTGATTTTGTGAATGAAATTGCTAAAATCTTTTTATAGTCGTGAAAGAAAAGTGGTTCACAATATGTAAAAGTATTTGTCGAAGAGAAATACCAAGGGTTCGGACAATATTTTCATTGAATAATGTTTCCAACAAAGGTTGTCAAATTGACTGACATGTTTATCGTATAGTACAGTCCACTATGAAAATTAGCTGTGGTTTGTTTCAACTACCTATTTTAAAGTTTTTTGTCACTTTCTAAGTGTTGAATTTTATGGAATTGGGAAAGAAGTACCGAGTTTGAAGCCTTCATGAGCAGACATTGCAGTTGAATATTCAAGTTCTGAATTTGATTATTGATGAATAATAAAATAAATCCTACTATCTCGATTGATGGTTTCATTTAATTTATTTAAACCAGATTACCTATAATAATATGTTTTCGTTAATTTATGAAAATATTAAATTAGCCCGTAATCCTGAATCCTGATACATAAAGTTAGCCTATTAATTTAACACAGGTACGACTGTACTCAGTGTTGCACTATCAAATGCAATTGATGCGCCTCTATGCCAGGGTTTTTATGTTCCTGGTCAGGCTATAGGAATAATATCGAATAAAAATAAATAAAATAAAATAAGCCTTTATTGCTGTTAATTTTTTTAACTTATTTCACTATACATGATATTACAAATTATAACTAGAGGTAAGAAAAAATTCATTTAAACTAAAATAGTATTTTCGGCATTCGGCTTATCTCTCCTCTTAACAGCTTGTCTTTCGACAAAGGCCTCCTCTAAGGATTTCCATTTGTTTCTGTCCTTTATTTATTTATTTATTTATTTAATGAGCAACATAATAAGCTTACAGAAAACCCAAAGCGCTTACATGTTTAGTCACCACATCGATTACAATAAATTTGCTGTACGCAACCATTCTGGCCCAGCTACTTGCTTCAAATCGTCTTCCCATCTCTTTGGTTGTCTTCCTCTACTTCTTCTGCTTTCTCTAGGGTACCATTCCGTAATTATTCTGGTCCATTTCTCTTTCTTTTCTCTTAACATATGTCCTGTCCAGCGCCATTTTAATTTCCTGCATAATGATTGTACTTTTCCAAACTTTGTCTTCCCTTTGATCTTTTTTAATTGCATTTTATCCTTTCTTCTCACTCCTAGAACGCTTCTCTCTATCCCGTTCTGACATATATTTAATTTATTTTGTTGTTGTTCAGTTAAGGCCCAAGTTTGGCATCCGTATGTAAGACATGGCAATATGCAAGCATTGAAGACTTTCCGTTTTTCAGCCATAGGCATTTCATTATTTTTCATTACTTCGCTCAACGACCAGAATCTTTTCCAAGTGTTTGCTATTCTTCTTTCTATTTCTTTCTGCATACTCTCTGTCGGTGATACTAATTGTCCCAAGTAAATGTACTCGCTTACATATTCTAACTGTTGGTTATTAACTGCAATATGAATGTTTTGTGAGGAGTTGGTCATTACTTTCGTTTTTGTTATATTCATTGTGAGCCCTGCATTTGCACTTTCGTCTGATAATTGTTGCAGCATTTTTTCCAAGGTCATCGGGCATTCGGAGAAAAAGTATTAAATCATCAGCGAATCTCAAATGGCTTAATTTGTCTCCATTCACGTTGAGTCCGTAATTATCCCAATCCAGTCTCCTAAAGATCAGCTCCAACACTGCTGAGAATATCTTCGGTGAAATAGGGTCACCTTGACGGATGCCTTCGGGAACTCTTCACCTGACCTTTCCAGTTTTATTTGTGCTGTGCTTTTTCCATAAATGATTTTTAATATGCGTATGTACTTATTATGAACCCCTTGTTGTTCTAATGATTCCCATATGTAGTGGTGTTCAAGGGAATCAAATGCCTTGTTGAAATCCAAGCCAAGTAGTATATTTTGTTGTATTCCCTGTATTTCTGAAGTATCTGGCGTAGGACGTGTATGTGGTCAATGGTCGAGAAGTTGCTCCTAAATCCAGCCTGCTCCTTTGGTTCGATAGTATTTTAGAAAATACTTTATATATATTAGACATTAAGCTTATTGGTCTATAATTGTTAATATCTCCTTTGTCTCCTTTTCTGTGCAGCAAAACTATCATTGATTTCGTCCAATCTTCTGGGATAACTTCTGCTGTTAATATTTCGTTAAACAAATTAGTTAATTTGGGGACGATTACTGGCATGGATATTTTAAGAAGTTCATTGGTGATTTGATCAGGACCAGGTGCTTTTCCTAGCTTCTGCGTAATAATATCGAATAATATGATTTAATTTCGGATATAGCAGAAATAGAAGAGAGGACTCGGTAGAAAACCAGTATTTCCGAACGTATACTCACCGGCGATGGTTTGGTCGAACGGCGGGACTTTCCTGTGGTATTTGAGCACGATGGTATGCGGTCGCACTAGCAGGGGCTTCATTTGATGCTCTGTAAGGGAAACAAATAAATCGTTATGTGAAATGCGATTGGTAAATTTTATATCAGATGCGATTGGTAAATATCATAAATTATAGTTTTCTTAACTTCAAACTCCTATTTTCGTCTATTTAATTTTGTTGTTGGCTCTAGACAGCTCGACAGTAACCCGTTGTCCAAAGTGAACGACAAAAGCGGCTACGTGAGATGCGATGTGAATTATTATATCAATTTTCACATCTGTTTTGCAGCTTTTTATCTATTTGTCGCTTGTTGTCGTTGTAGTATTTTTTTTATCCACAACGAGGAAGCTTTTGGCCTGTATCTCACCCGATGGTAAGTGCTGATCAGGCCGAAGGTGGAAGCGAGCTTCACCCGGAATCCTCAACCACGGAGGAACTGGCTATCTTACTTCTAACTGCCGGAACACAACAATGCTGTTAACATTGTTGTTATGGCGACAGACTTAGGTAAGATGGTGGTAGCTAGCCAGGCGGACTTAGAACAAGCTCTACCACCAACCAAACCGAACAGAAAAATCTGCCCCCAATGGGAATCGAACCCGGGACCTCTGCGTCTGAAGCAGGTGGTCTTACCACTAGACCACAGAGGCGGTTAAATAGTGGCATGTGTAGTCGCGTGGTTTAACATATCATACGTATTATCGCAAATATTGTCGCATTGCTTCATATCTCCCCGAGACAATTCAACCTTCACTGGTTTGGTTGGAGGCCAATCAAATGTAGATCCTGCCTAAAAAGTTCCAGTGGCGGGAAAAAGTGGTAGGATTAATCCTGTTTGGTGTCTATCATACCTTCAGCAACAATAACCGGCGGCTCCTCCATTCCGGCGGCGTATTCCGGCGGGCGCGTGGACGCCGGTCGCGGCGGCGGCGCGGCAGATGTCGGCACTAGCTGGTCGCCGGTCGACACCGATATGTCGTCTTCCATCTCTGTAGGACAGAAATATTGTTTTATTAACTACTAAAGCCTGGTCCGTGAGCACGTAGAATCCCGTCCAATGACCCCAAGCTACCCATCCTTGTCGCTCGCACGTAATTATGTTGCTGTCGCGCTCGCACACTCACTGCGGGCGCCCGTCGCACAGTCGCGACAGAAATATAATTACGCGCGAGCGATAAGGATGGGTAGCTTGGGGTCATTGGACGGGATTCTACGTGCTCGCAGACCAGGCTTTACTAGCTTTTGCCCGCGGCTTCATCATCATCATCATCATTTCAGCCATAGGACGTCCACTGCTGAACATAGGCTTTCCACGTTGATCGATTGGTAGCGGCCTGCGTCCAGCGCTTCCCTGCTACCTTTACGATGTCGTCGGTCCACCTTGTAGGTGGACGTCCCACGCTGCGTTTTCCGGTACGCGGCCTCCATTCCAGAACCTTTCTGCCCCATCGGCCAACGGCTTCGCACGCGTGAAATTTCGATTGTCACAGATCGTCATAAATTATAGCCTATATGTTATTCTGGATTATGAACAATAATACTGTAAAGTTTCATCAAAATCCGTTCAGTGGTTTTTGAGCCTATTCATTACAAACATACAAAAATAGGTACAAATCTGGAAAGATTTGTACCTATTCTATACTAATATTATAAAGAGGAATCCGTAACCCCCATAACCACCAGTTATGGGGGCATTTTTTTTATCAAATATCCAAAAAAACACGAATTTAAAAGCAGATTTTTTTCAAAAAGTATCATTTTTTATTATTTTTGGCCTTTTTTGTGTATTTTATGTATTTTTTTAGTATTGCCTGTTATTTAGCATTATTACTGTTTTTATTTTATCAGGATATACCGCTTAGTTCATTGTGGAAAACCTTGGGGGAGGCCTTTGTCCAGCAGTGGACGTCATTTGACTGAAAACGAATACCGCTTAGTTTAAAAGTTATTTCGTTTTCTTTACAATAAGTAATTGGAAGAAAAAAAAATCTATAATTTTTTTTTTTTAAATCTCAAAAAATTTTTGACCTGTTTTTTGTCGATAAAAATAGGTCTAGTTTCATCTATTTTCATATGTACACTTTAACGTGACTAACACTGTATTAGTGTAGACTAGCGGTCGCCCGCGACTTCATACGCGTGGACCCCGTTTTGAAGGGGTTGAATTTTGCAAAATCACAGTTAAGTCGAACCATAATATCGACCTCCTCC